TATGAGATCTATCCCAGATCTCTTCCCCCGTTGTGAAGTCTCCCGTGTTGCGCCTAGGGAGGAACAAGGCGTCCTACATGCGATCACAGCGGGGGGTGGCAGCAAGAGACCATCGAAGTTAATCAGTTATCAAGCACAGGACGACCCACAAAAGGCTGCACACACAGAACAGAGAGCTAACTTTCAGGTGGCTATCTTCACGTTTATCTAAAGAAAATAGCCAGGCGCCACCAACCCCCAGGCACCTCTGTTCTCGCTTTTGCAAGAACGTTCCGGACCGCTGCCCGCCGCCAATCCAAAGCCGCCAACCCTTCTCCTGGTGGACTCTGCACCCATCTCAGAACCGGCCCCGCCCCCCTCCCCCACCCTCTTGATCGATAGCCAGTGTACATTCTTTCAACACAGCTCCATCTTTCTCTTTCCCCCCACAGACACGATGTCCGAAAGCGCCGGGGACGCAGGCGGGCAGGCATTGCTCCATCCAGCCCCGCGGCTGTGGTTTAGACTCCATGCCCGGGACGTGGCCCCTTCCTGGCTAGCATTTGGCTCAATAAACACTTCCTTTCAGAAAAGCTTCTGGCCGTGAAAGTGCTTTGTTTGAGAGGAGTATAATCCTGAAACACGTTTACATTTCCTTCAGGCCTGCATTCAAATATCATGTTCTTGGTGAGAACACCCCCGGCCTCCCTAGGAAAAGATCAGTTCAACATGCCCCCTCCGCAACAGAAGCACACCGTTCCTACCTCTCTCCCCTGCCTTATTCTTCCTCCCTCGCACCAGTCACCGTCACACTACACATTTAATTTACATCCCCACTCAAATGAAGCTCCGGCGAGCCAGGGGTGTCTGTCTGTTTTGCTCACGGCTGGGTATCTATAGCTCTTAGAATAGTGCCCGGGACGCAAGAGGAGCTGAAACCATTTTTTTCAAATGAATGAACTATGAGCTACACTTATGTAAGCACTTGTTCCGCACCAGGGACTTGTTTTTATACAATCTATCTAGCTCATTTTCATCTTCATAACCACCCCGAAAGGTAGGGTGGTTATTTATGTTTTCTAGATGAGGACGGTGCGTCTCTGGGCGGTAAGATCACACACCCCTGCTCATCATCATCACTTCTACCGGGCAGGGCAGGGCTGGGTAGAGAGACCTGTCTGGCTCCACAGCCTTAGCCATTACCTGCACCAAGATGAGCTGTGTTCGGGTGGAGGATCAAAGAAGGACCAGAGAGGGATAAAGGGAGAAGCAACAGAAGATCTCTGGAAGTTCTACTGGACCAGTACTGGCCAGCAGAACTTTGTGCGGTAATAGAAATTCTATCTATTCTGACCAATGCGGAGGCCACTGGTCACGTGGGCTACCGAGCACTTGAAATGTGGCGAATGCAACGAAGGAACTACACTTTTCATTTGACTTCATTTTAATTAAATTAATTTTTTTTTTAATCCTCACCCAAGGATATTTTTCCATTGCATTTTAGGGAGAGTGGAAGAGAGAAGGGAAGGCAGAGAGAAGCATCGATATGAGAGAAACACATCAATTGGTTGCCTCCTGCAGTGCCCCAGTCAGGGCCTGGGCAGGGAGGAGCCTGCAACCAAGGTGCCTGCCTTTGACCGGAACTGAACCCAGGACCCTTTGGTCCACAGGCTGACGCTCTATCCGCTGAGCCAAACCGTTCAGGGCTGAATTAATTTAAATTTATAGAGCCACGCTTAGGAAGTGGCCACCGCATTAGAGAGCCAAGCTGTAGCCTTTAGGACTGGCTGGGGAAAAGCCCGGATTAGTGACAAGAACGCGCTCACTCACAGGGTTGGTGGCCTGCAGGCCGGGGAGACAGGGGGAGACGGGAGGGGTGCACATTTACACGGAGAGAACCCAGGCCACTCTGTGTAATCCTCCCAAACAGCCTGAGGGGGAGGGTTTGTTTACCCAGCCCAGGATGAGGTCACAGTCAGGGTCAATATGCCTGCTTCTTGGAGCCTTGCCCACCCCCCCCACCCCCCCCACCCCCCCCACCCCCCCCCCCCGCAAAGGAGCTTCCTCTACGCCAGTGGTTCTCAACCTTCCTCATGCCGTGACCCTTTAACACAGTTCCTCATGTGGTGGTGACCCCCAACCATAAAACTATTTTCGTTGCTACTTCATAACTGCAATTTTGCTACTGTTATGAATCGTCATGTAAATATCTGATAGGCAGGATGTATTTTCATTGTTACAAATTGAACATAATGAAAGCATAGTGATTCATCACAAAAACAATATGTGATTATCTATGTGTTTCCCGATGGTCTTAGGCCACCCCTGTGAAAGGGTCGTTCGACCCCCAAAGGGGTCGCGACCCACAGGTTGAGAACCGCTGCTCTCCGCACTGTCGCCCTGACAAGTTGTCTTTGGGGAGCTGGTGCTGAGCAGGACGCTCGGGGAGCTGGGCTTCCTCAGTCCCTTTCAGGGATCTACACCTGACCCTGTCCAAGCCCCTTAAGTGCGGCGTCTGGGCGGCTGACCACACACAGCCCCTCCTTCCTCGGACTCAATACCTGTTTGTTGCAATGAAAAAACAAGGTCGGAGCCAAAGCAGGAAAAGATCTCTGGCAACTGGAAGCCCACTGGGGGGAGGGCCTTGGCTCCGTTCCTCCACCACACAGTTTGCCAGCCATCCCCAAACTTGCCAATCACAAGGGATTTTTGTTGAAAAGGACATTTCCCAAGACTCGTTCCCTGGTGTTTCTCTTGGGTAAATCTGGAGCCAAGAACGAGCATTTTTGTCAAGCCCCCACCCCCACCCCCACCCTTCACACACACACACACACACACACACTCACACACAATTCTGACGCAACTCGACCCAGAATCACCCTTTTGAGAAATACTGATAAGGCTAAGGTAAGGCTAGGAAAGCTGTAGACACTTGGGGCCGGAAGAAATTACCATAAAGGGAAGTGCAGAAGTTGAGACAGGACTTGGAGCGACAAAGGTGTATGTTTTGGGTGCTAGGGCCCTGCAGAAGGCCAAAGGAGACCCCGAGTCTCCTGTGTCCAGGCCTTCCACACCCAACAGCTCAGTCCAGCTAGTCCAGCCCCGAGAAGGCAGGTCCGCCTGAGCTCCAGGACAGGCGGCAGCTGCTAAGCCCAAGGGAAACAGGCTTCTGGCCATTAGGAGCCCACAGCCCCGGGAGCCAGTGGGTTTCCCCTCCAAACCCATTCCAGCCACTGCTACCCCTCGGCCCCTCACTTCTCCAAAGCGAGACACCTCAGTCATTTGCTCCAGACTTCCTGTACACGGTCTTTATTTTTACTCTCGAGCCTGTGGGCTGAGTCTGTGTGGGTGTGGGAGGGGAGCTGGGTATTTTCTACATCTCTGTATTTTCCTTCTGAACTGGGAGGGCTTTCACTTCCTCCCCAAACTCTCAGTTCTGCCTTGAATTCACAGGCTGCCCAGGCCTTGAGACCACCGTGCCCGTCCCTCCTGAGCACCAGGGAGATGGAGAACTGACGGGCACCTGGCTGCTTTCACAGTACCTCGCGCTGGGTGATCACTCAGGAGTGAAAGGAAGCCTTCGCTGCAGCTGGGCAGGTGCCCTGGCTGTGGGGTGAGGAGGCAGGGGAGCCTTGCTCCCTCCTGACCGCTGGCTCAACCCTGCCTAGCACCCCTCTGACACCAGGGTGGGCAAGCCCAGGCCCCCACTTCCCTGCCTTGGCCTCTTCTGCTCCAGCACTCAGCCAGCCAGGGGTGACTCTCAGCCTGCCCCCAACCACCCTTCCCCCCCAGCTCCTACTGCTGGGCTAGTTCTGCATGTGGGAATGTTGGGGATCTGCCACACTGGAGCTCAGGGACATGGGGGGTGGGCCTCCGCCCAAAGGGCCTGGCAACTTCCCATCTCATCCTCTCTGAACCTCAGTCTCCTTTTCGGAACAAAGTGTCCTGAGATCCAGTGGAGGATTAGAAAACGCGCCTGAAGCACAGGAGGCCTCGATCAACAGTGCCCGTTCTCTAGGCATGAGTTGTAAGTGTGTGCTGAGAAGAGGAATCCTTTCATTTCGCACCTCCCAGCACAAGGAACACAGCTATGCAGGAAGCAGAGAGCGGCGGGCACACTGGTCTCCAGCCGCGAGCATTATCTCCCCGCAGGAGACAGCAGCTGCCCCAGGGTTTTCCGCCATGCCTTCAAAGAAGCCCTCAGACCCAAAAATAAACCCTTGGAGAAGCAGTTACCCAGCTGGACTAGAGAGACTAGGCATGCAGCTGGGCATGCTGCCAGGGGCAGATTACAGTCAACAGGAGCAAAAGTGCCCCCTGCCCCCTGCCCTCACTCCTCCCTCGCCTCTGGAAGTGAGTCCGGAGTGTGCCAGCCCCCAAGACGTCCCAATTGCTCCCCACTGAGGTGGAAATCCCAGGGTGGACACAGCTTGCAGAGCTGGTGTCTGCTGAAGCCTGAGCACGCATCCAGGAGGTCGTGACTCAGCGCCCAGGAGGGCAGTCCCTACACAGGCAGAACACTGTCATCCACACATCCAGCCGGGGCACTGAGGGGGAAGCCAGGCCAGGTGCGCCCCCAAAGCTGAAGGTAGAGGGGCGCCTTCGGCGGGAGCCCCACCGGCTGGGGTACCTGCCCTCAGAGTCTCCCGGGACGCAGCGGTGTAAAGCCTCCGGGGAACACTGGGGGGAGACCCGTGAATCAGGGTTCTGAGAACACACCAAGCCCTGCGCGCAGGCGGCGCGGCGCTTCCCGGCCACGAGCCGTCACCCGGAGCGCGCAGCTCCGAAGGCGCGGGGCGCAGCCGGGGCACAGGAGCCGCCGCCCGCGACGTAACAGCTGGGTCCCTGGGAGCCCGCACCTCGTGCCCGCGGGGACCTAAACCAGCCACGGAAGAGGGCAGCCATCACCCCGCCTTTCCTCCCTCCGGCCGTCCCCCCACCACCACCCCCACCTGCGGTGACCACAGCGGTTTCCCCCATCCGCCAGCTGGCCCGGCACTCCAGGTGCGCGCACGCCTTACCCAGCGCGGAGCAGCGCCCCGGGGCCGCCGCAGCCCCCGGCGCGGCCAGCAGGGCGGTGAGCAGCGCGCAGCGGACGGCCAGCATGCTTCCTCCTCCGCTAGCAGCCCATCGCCATGGTCCCGAGGAGGCCGCGGGCGGGCGGGCGGGACCGGGAGGGCGGGGCGGGGCGGGGGGCGGGGGCGGGCGCGCTCAGGCCCGGCGGGCGGCCCGCATCCCCGAGGGGCCGGCTCGGGACACTCTAGGCGCGTCCTGGAGCCCCACGCGGCGCCGGGCTGGGCTCCTGCCGGCCGCGCTCCGTGTCCGTGCGACTTCCCACTTGCACGTGACTCAGAGCCGCTGACAGTCCTGGCAACGCAGGAAAACATTTGAGGAACTCGCGCCGGGCGTCCCGGGGCCGCCCCAGGGCGCTGTTACGAAAGCCCGAGCCGGTGGCGCAACCGCCCGCGACCCGGCTGACCGCAGGCTTCCTGCCGGGGCGCCACACCTGAGCCGCGGGCCGGGGGACCCCGAGCCCGGCGGGGCGCGCTCGGCCGGCGCCCCTCCTTCCGGTCCTGCCGACTTGGCCACCACTCGCCGGTTTTGATTTTTGGTTTCGTGAACGGGATGGTGCTGTGAAAGGCACACCTGGGGGCCGCGGAGGACGGAGGTGCCCCCGCCCCCGCTTCCTGTGAAGCCGTGGTCCAGCCCGGCTGCTTGGGACGCACCTGGAGCAGTGGTTCTCAACCTTCCTCATGCCGCGACCTTTTAATACAGTTCCTCATGTTGTGCCCCAACCATAAAATCATTTTCGTTGCTACTTCATAACTGTAATTTTGCTGCTGTAAATAATATGTAATTATATATGTGTTTTCCGATGGTCTTAGGCGACCCCTGTGAAAGGGTTGTGCGACCCCCCAAAGGGGTCGCGACCCACAGGTTGAGAACCGCTGAGGGATAACCCTAAAACCACCCCCAGAGATTCTGATTTAATGGATCTGGCCGCAGCCCCCGCGGAGGGGGCTCGGGAGGCAGGGAGAGGCCTCTCTCCACCCAGGCCTCCACCTACTGTGACTGCTCTTCAGAGTTCTTGGGCTTTCTTTCAGCATCTGTCCGAAAGAAATTTTTTTCGCAGTGTATGCTCAGGAGATGGCATGGGTACACCGGACCCACGGTCTGGGTCACAGGGGCTCAGCGGATACCAGAACCTGCTTATCCACCCTCCTGATGTGAGACGTAGAAGTCGGTACCGGCTTTCGGGAGCAAGACCTATGGAAAGGGCCCAGGAAGGTTGCCCAGGGTCCTGAATCCGCGAGGGTGGCCTCAGAGCTCACTGTGAAGGGAAAGAAAAGTGCTGAGATGAGGTCTAGTCTGAGAAGCTTCTGGACCAGCAACTGCTCATTACAATGGGCTTATCCACTTGGACTCCAGGCTGACCCGACCCAGGACCAAGGTTCCTGGGGCAGCTGGAATGGGCATGGCCTGGAGGGGCCCCCAGGTGGACAGGACCTGGCAAGAAGGAACAGAGCTCCTGCCTGGCCGGCGTGGCTCAGGGGTTGAGCATTGACCAATGAACCAGCAGGTCACGGTTCAATTCCCGGTCAGGGCACATGCCCGGGTTTCGGGCTTGATCTCCAGTGTGGGGCGTGCAGGAGGCAGCCGATCAATGATTCTCTCTCATCATGGGTGTGTCTATCTCTCTCTCCCTCTCCCTTCCTCTCTGAAATCAATAAAAATATATTTTTTTAAAAGGAAGGGACAGCCCTAACCTGTTTGGCTCAGTGGATAGAGCGTCGGCCTGCGGACTCAAGGGTCCCAGGTTCGATTCCGGCCAAGGGCATGTACCTTGATTGCGGGCACATCCCCAGTGGGGGGATTGCGGGAGGCAGCTGATCGATGTTTCTCTCTCATCGATGTTTCTAACTCTCTATCCCTCTCCCTTCTTCTCTGTAAAAAATCAATAAATTATATTTTTTTAAAAAAAGGAAGGGACAGGGCTCCTGAACTGCAGCTCTCAGACCCGTGCATCTTGCCTGTCTGTGGGAACCACCCATCAGCAGTGCCAGGCAGAACCAGCCACATGCCCTGACCCATCCGCGATGGAGTGTGATAGGGGTGGATTCACTCAGCCACACCCACAGGCAGGGAAAGAAAGGCCTGTTGGGGGCAGGCGGATCTTTTGGCCACTCGCCCTCTGGGCTGCAAGGTGGTTCCCGCTGTGGGTGCCCCTTCCCGTTTGTGGAAAATGCAGACCTGAAAATAATCCTATGGGGCCACAAGCTGCCAGCCCGAAACCAGAAGCTCAGAGAGGAAGGCTTCACAGATGGATGTTGAAGCCCAAGTCTTAGACCCCACTCGGCTGCGCCATCAAAGTGGGCCTCCCCGTCTCTGATCCAGGTGAGGTGACTGCATTCTGGAGTCAGACAGGTCAAGGTCCCATCCCAGCTTGCCACTTGCTGGCTGTGTGACTTGGGCACGTGATTTAAACTCTCTGAGCCTCTATTGCCCGGTTTTTGAAAAACATTTTTTTTTTTTATTGATTTCAGAAAGGAAGGGAGAGGGAAAGATAGAAGCATCAATGATGAGAGAGAGTCATTGATCAGCTGCTTCCGCATGCCCCACCCAGGGTCTCTGAGCCAGCAGCCTGGACACGTGCCCTGATGCTCTTGATGCTCAACCACTAAGCCACGCCGGCCGGGCTCTATTGCTCAATTTTTTAATATGAGAGCAGCAATATGCAGATGATCGAGGTTATGGTTCCCATGAAAAGATCTGGCCCATCTTTTTTTTTTTTTCTCTCAGCCTCATGTTCTACATCTCTATGCTTTGAATATAATTATGTTTTTTATGATTTATGGTTTCTCACCTCCATGCCTATGTTCAAGCTATTCCTTCTGCCAGAAATCCCCTTGTGTGTCCTACACCCTCCTCACACTTAAGACTCAGCTGGGATGTCTTCTACAGGCAGGTGCCCGTCTCGTCCCTGCTTCACTGGAATCCTACCGCTCATCCACAAGGCCAAATCAGGTGGCTGGGCCCTGGGCTCCCTCCTCAAAACCCCCTCCGGACTTTGTTCACCACCCTGTCTGCCCTGCCACACCATAACGTTCCTCTCTGCCCCCCCTGCTGAGCTGAGCGGGGGGGGGGGGGGGGGGGGGGGGGGCCTGGCACAGAGCGAGGGAGGGCCTTTGTCAGGGAGACCTGACCTCCCTGGGGTCGTCCGAGCAAGGTCTCTCTGACCTCCGTCAAACGCCACTTGAACTCAACATTAAGTAGAGTTTCAAAATTCATGGGGCCGCATTCCGGCGTTTAATACGGAAAACGCTGATAAGGGAGAGAACACATACCCGACCTGCCTGCATCCTGGGGTCACTAGCTAGGTCTCTCGTCCGGCTTCTCGACCCAGCAAGGGGAGAAGATTCGGGCCTGTCTCGATTTGTCTAGAGCCCCAAATGGGAACAGGGATAGCGAGTCACCCGCAAACAGAACTGAGAACGAACCAGGCCCGGCTGGGGATTCCGGCCCCGCAGGAGAAGGAACAATGAGGACTTCCAGGGGGCACCGCTGCCCGGAACTGTGCTGCCTGCCAAGCGCTTTCAGACACGATCTCCTTTGAACTTCTCAGCCCTGGGGGCTGGGAGATTTCGGCTCCAATTTTCAGATAAGTTCACCGGGGCTCAGAGAAGTAAAGAGACTTGTTCAAGATTACACCACTGGTCAGGGGTGCTCTGGAGTGAGGTCTGGCTCCTGGCCCGGAACCCGCACTGAGGGAGGGTGCGGTGGACACAGGCCCAAGGACACTGCAGGACAGCTGTCTGCCCCATTCGTGGGCCAGGAGGGGAGAGGAGCGAGGAGCAGAACCTGCCATTTGGGACACCCCCTTCTTGGGCCTCCCAGACTCTCTTCAACCAGTGTGTGTTCCTGCAGTTGCCTTCGGTCACCCCTAGAGGGGGAAGCTTGGACGGGCTCCGCTCCTATCAGATCCTTCCCAGCAAGCAAGTCCTCTCCCACCTTTGACCGGAAGAGATTAAGCTTCTTAGTTTGCCACAGTCAGAGGGTCAACTGGAAGCCTTAGAATAAATTCATAGATTGTGGTGAATCCAAAAGGTACTCATGTATCCTCTGCTGCTCCGCCCTCCAGCCTCCAAAGGTGATCTCCCAAAGATGACGGGGCAAGTAATGACAGGAAGTCAAGATCCCAGATAGCCGGACTCAAGAGTCATTTCTTTTCCATTCCTACCCTGCGCCCACCCTCAGGCGTGGGCTGATGTGTGAGAGTTATTCTCAATCAGGAGATTTTAAAACAATGCCCTTTGTTCTCCCCCTTTTAGGGGCAATGATATCCTAAAACTGTGCATAGAGGTGGGCTGCCTTGCTATCTCTCCCTTGGCCTCTGGCCCTGGCTTATCAATAATTACTGGAAGGTGCTCCTTATTCCCTGAAACCTTCCCCTCCCCTTTCTCAACAGCCCAAGAGGAGGTCCAGCAGTTCTCAACCTGTGGGTCGCGACCCCTTTGGGGGTCGAACGACCCTTTCACAGGGGTTGCCTATGTACATCCTGCATATCAGATATTTACATGACGATTCATAACAGTAGCAACATTACAGTTATGAAGTAGCAAGGAAAATAATTTTGTGGTTGGGAGTCACCACAACATGAGGAACTGTATCAAAGGGTCGCCGCATGAGGAAGGTTGAGAACCACTGAGGTAGACAGTCTGTGGCCCAACTGAGGTATAATCAAGGGGCCCCTCTGATGGGCAGAACTCAGTGGCCTCGACCACTGACACCCCCACAGACCCAGCCAGGGCCAGCGACCGCCTGCCTGGGGAGACTTCTCCACTGTCACAGCTCCGGCAAGACCGCAGTCAGGCTGCCCGTTCACCGCCTGCAGCGGAGTTCAGTACATTTTCTGTTCTGTTTCCCCGTCACATCACCAGCTGAGTTCACCCCCAGAGAAGGGATTTTTAGCCCCGTTTTCAGAAAGGGGTTATAAAATCCCTCCTCCCCTTATAATATTTATAATGTTATGATTTCGTAACTGTTTAAAAGCACAACTAGAATTAAATGTAGAATTACCCTACGATCTAACAATTCCTTTTCTGGGTATATATACAAAAAAATTGAAAGCAGGAACTCAGCCCAGCCAGTGTGGCTCAACCTATGAACCAGAAGGTCAT